TGGGGAAAGAGAGATGCAGATGAGTATAGATAAAAGAAAAACTTTGTGACACCCACTGTAGATCGAATTTCGATTGCATATGTTTTTACAGAGAGCATAACATAAAGCATTGAGCAGCTAACAAATGGTTGAGAAATCTGAGAATGGCCGTTGGCAACGAGTTCATGATTTACCACCAAAAGGAGATCTTTAGGCCGATAGAACCCGACAAGGTGAGGATGGGCAAGAGTTGGCGCTTGAGGATGATCGCAAAGACAATATACGGATGCAGACGGGGAGAGTAGAGAGAGTTGTCGTGGAACCGTAGAGGTTCCTGAACCTTTTTTTTTTTTTTTTTTTTTTTCTAGTTTTTTACTTCTTTTCCTTGTTGAATTAGGTTTTTACTCTTTAAGAAATAAAGAAAAAAAGGTTCAAGTTTTATTAAAAATAAATATATGGGAATTGTTAAGATTTTAGTAAAACTATATATATGTGTGTGTGTGTGTGTGTGAAGTTGTCTTAAAAAGTTATGAATTTTTCTATTATTTAGATTAAGGGTATTTTAGTAATCATATTAATTTACATTTTATTTCAGGTAAACTGGTAAACAACTTATATCATTTCAACTCCAATTTCAGGACATTATAGTAAATAACTTTGACAGGAATTCAATTTTGACTCCTCCACATTCTAATTACCAATTCAATTCATTATCAATTCAATGCTTCTTATTTTGATTACGGATTAGTAAACGAGTTGTAAAGTTATTTGGGTTCCTTGTCCCTTCGCCAGTTTTAAACAAATCTCACTGTGAGGATAAAGGCGACGGTTAGGGCATCTATGCCATGTGATGTATGTATATATATATATATGAATGGTGAAATTATGGGCCACTAGTAGAAACTTTTGGTCATTTGGCATACAAGATTCAGAAAAATGTGTCCACCGTAATTACATATGTCATTTAGAAGTGACGATCATGTTCAATTATTACCACAGTTTTAAAAATTCCTGTCTAGTTTCGTCTAGGCTTCGTCTTTGATTAATTCCTAGGAATTTGAATTAACAATGAACACCTAGACATGCCTAGCGCCCGCCTAGACCCATCTAGGCATTTACATAGGTCGCAATTTTCACTTAGACAGAAAATTGATAACTTTCATTTGGCCTTTTATTTTTTTTTTGATAAATTGTAAGAGACTTGTTAAATACTTAGATGAACATTCATTATATGTTTGTTCTCCATATTTTCAATATGTTCTAATACTTTATAATAATTAATATTAAAAAAATTCTAGGGCCTTACCTGCCACTCTACTAGTGCCTTTTAAAACCTTCATTATTATACAGCTATTGTTTTAATACTCTTTCGCTATTGTATTGTGTTTAATGAAGGCGTGCATTTGATATTTCTTTTGACAACATGATTATGAGGAATGCTAGCGATATTCTCCACTTGTCTTCCCTTGCCTTTCCCACTTAGTGGATGTTATGTGAACATATCTTACACCTAAATTTGTGAAGTTTTTGTTTTTTTGCTTTTTTTTTTTTTTTTTTTGGAAAACCTTTCCTTAGAAAGGAGACAATTTTATTTCAAACACTAGATTACAAAGAGAGGCCCACATACAAAAAGTACCAGACACACAAAGGGACCTCCCAACAAGCCCAACAAAGCTCAACAAAAGAGCACAACACTAGAGACAAAACAAAAGACGTCTCTTGACCCCAACATCCACCACTTCCAAAGTTTTCCTGATCAACCCAGAACCAATCCGCCAGCCAACGCCAAATCCAATCGAGCAACTCCGCAGAACCCATCCACGAAAGCCGTCCCGATCGCCCCGATCTCAGCCAGAAAGTGGAAGAAGTCCGAGGGAACACCCCGAAAGACAGTGCCATTGAAGGCAGACAAAGAGAAGGAGGTGGTGTTGTAAACACCGGAGCCGATGAGTCCACCAGAGCTCTATGCACCCTCTCAAAAGATCGCAAAAATTTGCATTAACATCAGACTGCATATCAAATTGAAAGTAGTTGGGGAAGACAGGCTTTGGGTAGAGACATTTGGGTTGAATCAGGAATAACTAGGGAGAAAAACTGAAAAACTAAGAAACAGACAGCGAAATGAAAAGTTTTCCGCCGACCCCCGCCACAGCGAGGGCCGTTGACAACGACGTTAGACGGTGGGGAAATCACTCACACACAGATGGTGGGAAAGACTCTCAAGAAGAGAGAAGGAAGGTAATCGAGCAGCATACTTTGTGGCTTCATACATATTTAAATAAGGTGGCTTATTTATGGATGTTATGTGAACACATCTAACACCTAAATTTGTGAAGTTTTTGTTTGTCCCTCAATATGGTAATCGAGCAGCATACTCTGTGGCTTCATACATATTTAAATAAGGTGGCTTATTTATGGGGTTGTTTTGGCCCCAAATTTCTGTTCAATATTTTGGTCAAGGACGTTAACATTCTGATTAGAATATTAGAAAATCTACATTTCTGATAAAAAAAAAATTATTTTAATAATTTATAGTTTTAATTTTTTATTTTTTATATAAGTATATTTTTTACACTGTCTTTTTTATTTTTATGTTATTCTAAAAAAAAAGGATGAAGGATGGTCATGACTTATAAAGTTCAAGATTTTGAAAAGCAAATAGATATGGTGGTCGAGTTCAATAGAAGAATGAACAATGTTTCCAATGTATGTCATAAGTTTGAATAAATATTTTCGTGTTGAATATAATGTTAGAAGGAAAAAATAAATAAACAAAAACAAAAATGGAGATTCCAAAAAAAAAAAAAAAGGAAACTTGTACAAAAAATTATATCAATAATTAAAGGATTAAATACCTAAAACATCACAATTTTTTAGTGTCATTCCAAATTTGGTCTTAATTTTTTAAACATTCCAAACAAGCACTCAACCTATTGGAAATATTACATCCATTAAGCCCCATATAATTTTTCCGTTAAATGTACATGTGGCAACAATGAGTCCACTTTTTAACTTACTTGGAAACCAAGGTTCTAAAAAATGCTAGGCGCTAGTCGAGCGGTGGACTGGGGTCTAGCGCCTAGGTAGGCACCTAGGCGGACTAGGTAGATTTAATTAAATCTATTATATTTCGTATAAATAAGTGGTTGCTTATACTTGAATATATATATATATATATATTATGAAGTATTGAAACATAATGAAAACATGGGGAACAAACATATAATATGTGTTCATTTAAGTATTTAACAAGTCTCTTATAATTTATTGAAAAAAATAAAATGCAAAATTAAAGTTATCTATTTTCTATCAAAGTGAGTCGTGACCTAGGCGGGTGCCTAGGTGAGTCTAGGCAGGCTAGGCGGGTGCCTAAGCGGTTAAGGCGGGCGCCAGCAGGTCTAGGTGTCATTTCTTAATTTTCAAACGTCTAGGCATTAATCTAGGCGGTGCTAGGCAGAGATTTTTAGAACAATGTTAGAAACTAAACTAATAATAAAATTAATAGCTTGAAAAATTAAAACAGTATGAAAATCGAGAAAAATCAACCCCCGACACCTCCATGCTCCACCATCTACCATTGAAATCTCAGCACAACCTTTATATTCAAAATGGCAATATGGAACCTCTCAACAACTCCCACCAGTCAACTGGGGTTTTCAAGGTCAACATTAATATTAGTTATCTTTGAATCTAAAATTCAAACATATATTATATAATACGGAAATCCATGATCAAAAGGGTATTAAATTGAATTAAAAATGGATCCAAATTGATTTACATCAAGAAGGCAATCTCCCACAAAGAGGGGCTAAGAATTTAGATAGGTTTTCAAGGAGCATGTTTCTGCTAATGCAATTTCCTCATTCGCCAATCTCGTAAAGCTTGTAGTTCTTCTTTTTGGACAGTGAAGATGGTGGTGACCTGTGGCCACATATTGTTGAATGAGTTAAAATTTGGATATCTTTGTCATAGAAAAATTAAATCATACTCATATGATGATAATCAACACTATAGTGTTTCTCATTATCACTTAAAAAGTAGTGAACAAACGCTAGTCCATTGTGAGGCTAAGCCCACCCCCCCCCCCTATAGTGTGGATAATATCGTTTATAAAAGAAAAAAAAAGTAGTGAACAAATATACACGGTTTATGTTTAGCTACGCCCCTTGGAACTTAATTTTAATCTCACTTTAGTCCCTATAACTCGGAAATCGTCACTTTACTCCCTAGAACTCAAAGTTCATTTCACTTTGCCTCTTGAAACTCGATTTTGATTCCATTTTGCCCCTTGAAACTTGAAAGTCGTCTTTATAAAACTCAAAACTCGTCCCACATTGCCTTAGATTTGTTATTCTCTTATGGGTTTGATTTGGGTGCACCAAGCTAAACAATTCTTTTTTATTTTTTTTCATCTATTCAATTTCTTTTAAGCTTAATATTCTCTAATTGTTGGATACTAATGCATAAGGAAGATTTGTAATCAAATTTATTACAAATGTGGCATATTCTTATTGGGTGTTGGGTCTCACATATGTTTTAGGAAACGACTTATAGGTTTCAGGGAGAAGAAAGAGTTCACAAGTCAAAGTTGAATGAATTTTAAGTTTCAATGAGTAAAATAATGACTTTTGAATTACAGGGCACAAAATGAGGATCAACATTGAGTTTTAGGTGGTATAGCTAAAATAAGCGATTACAAGAACGATATGCATGCATGTGAATGGAAACTACCATAACATTGACAGAAACAATTAGATTATATTATTCATTACCACATATATACAGAGGAGTTTGAAATGATTCGAACCGAAATATTCTACAACCTACTACTACCCAACTGCAACGTTAAGCTTAAAACGTGTTTTATTTCACTAAATAAAAGAAGGAAAAGCAAAAGAAACTCTTTGATTCTTCTTTTGCTTTTACACAAAAAGGCTTTTTAGTCATGTTGTGGTCCGAACCTAAATATTCTAGAAAAGCTCCTACTAAAAATCCTTTTGTTGTTTTCAACTTATCAAAACTCAAAATCCATAGTACTGAAACTGGGTAGCTCCAAAATTGTTCATAAACTGTCCTCCTCCTTCTACTGTTGCATTCATCTCTTCCTCTTCTACATTGAACCCTTCAACCTGCACAAATTAACCTCATTAACTCTACGTTATCGCAATAACTTAAATTGTATAATTTAACATACAAAAAAGTGACGAAATCGTATATACAGAGTAATATTCTTACTAGACATGTAGACTGTGAACAATAAACATAAATCACACATTCATGCAAGAGTAACATGACCAATGTGTTCAAATTCTTAGTCACACAAATTATAATTTAAGCTAAATAATCAACATTATGTTATCATGTAAGTTTATGATTAATTACCTTAGTAGTTTATATGGTCAAACTTTTAGCCTGTTGTCATAATATAGCTTAAACAAGTATACACAAGGTAATATTATATTGCCAGACCTGCGTTGTCAAATAAATTTGCTGAATACCATACATTTGAACCAAACGTGTCTAAATTCTCAATCTCACAACATGGATAGTACCATGTCATTGTCTAATAGCTAAAAGAAAAAATAAATTTAGCTGTTCAAACTTCTTGGTACTAGTTAACCGAGGAAATTTAACAAATACTGAAATGTGAAAACAAAATATTTTTACCCAGAGCTCATCTTCGTCTTCTTCTCTGGTACTTGAACATGCGGCTTTAAGAATCTCGCCGGTCTCGCCGTTGCGTGCAAATCTGCCACGTGTGCGGGGTCGGTTGTCTGCTAGTATTTTTCGACATGCATACTCGTCATGTACATAGAGTAACCAACAACCCACTGATTTAAACACAGTACTAATCTAATTTAACACCTAAAAGTTAATGTATATATGCAATAATATTATGTTTAATTATCTTAATTTAGAATGATTTTAAACAATTTTAAAAGATTTTAGAATCTTGGTGTAGTCAACTAGAATTTTACAATATTTTAAAAGAGTCCATTCAAATACAGGGATAGTCAATTAAAGGATTTTAAAAGACTTTAGAATCTTGATGTAGTCAACTAGGATTTTAAAGGATTTTTATAGAGACCATGCAAATCTATAGGTATTCAAAAATTAATACATTTTGAAAGATTTCCTTCAATAAGAGATTTTGTAGGATTTGAAAATGAAAGGTAAGCATAACAAAATCCTACCTCCACCCCTAGGATTTATTTTCAACTCCACACTTTCTATTTCTCTCTCCCCACACTGCAACTCGAGCTTTATTTCTCAATCTCTATTTTCTCCGAGAAACTCATCATTCCTTCCTTCTGGCGTCTCAGCCACCCACCCCATCCTCTCAATATGCAATCAATATACCACTGTATACAATCGTATACAAAGATAACAAAGTTGATCATACCTTTAGAGATAGGACTTGAAGAAGGCGAGAGAGGGGGTGTGGATAATTGAAGGGTTTGAGTTGCATTTGCTGATGGTCTCCTTCATTTTTCTTACCTTTGCAGCATCTATTCTTCTCTCTTGCATTTGCTGATGGATTCCTTCATTTTTCCTACCTTCGCAGCATCCATTTGAATAAGAGGAATCACTTTTTAGAAAAAGTCAAAAGCCAAAAGCGCTTTCATGAATGAATGATTATGGTGGAAGGTTTCTGCTGTGGAGGACCATGGACATGGAGGATAAGGGTTACTTGGGAGAACTAGGCACATTTCTTCATTCACTTTCAAATTTAATCTTTTTTTATTTAAAATAAATTTTAAAATGGCAAAAGAGTCTCCGAAAATTCATTCAAATCTTTAATCAAAGTCCATAAAAATCCTTTCAAATCTTTAATCAAAATCCATAAGAATCCTTAAAAATCCATTAGAAAGTTGTAAGGATTCTACGATCCTTTGAAATCTATCACTTCAAAAAAATCTTTTAAAATCCTGTGAAATCCAAATTGACTACAACCCCTAAATGTTTTGTTGAAGTTTCTCTGTGGCCTTACGGCTCTGTACTTTGAGATTCTCTCTTTCCACTCTTCTGCACTATACCTCCCCGTTTTGAAGTTCGCAGATGCTTCTTCCATCACCGAGCTCTCTCTAGGAGCACGATTTGTTCTAAAATTCTACAAAAAAATTGGAAAAAACCAAAAAAATAAGACATGGGTTTTGATTTTAATTAAACAGGGATTAAATCAAAACAAACGCAGAGCAGATTAATTAAAATTCTGGAGAGTAATCTGATTTGTAAATCACCAGTGCTGGAAACCCTTCTCATTTGACCGTCCAAAAAGCTGCTTTCCGGAGAGCTCAAGCTCGAAGCTTGGTTCTGAAAACTTGGGGACTCCATGAGAGAATCAAAGCTTGGTTGGAAGTAAAAACCAGGCTTGTTATTACTTCCATCAAAGCAGTTGCTGCTGTAGCTCATCTGCATAAACTTTGCCGCATTCTCCGCGCCGCCATAGCTGTGAAGCTCAAAAGCTTGATGAGATTCTTCAGTTTTGACCTCCAAAGCATCAAAAAGCCAAAAATTCGGCCACCCAATTGGCAAATTTGGACAGTTTTATTCCATTTGGTGCAACTGGGTTTTCTGGTGCAGACTTAATGTTTCGAGCTGGTAACTTGGGGAAGAAGAAGAGATGAGAGACGGAGAGTTTTGGTCAGTTGCGTTTTGATAGGTTTGTTGGTTGGAGATTGCTTGGAGTTGGAGGAGGTCAATGTCCGAGAAGGGAGAGAATGGCTTCTTGGAGAAGAACTGCAGGTCCGCCATTTCTGAGGTGGTGGAGTGGCAGTAGAATGAGTCGTTGACGATGTAGAGACCGGACGAGGACATTGTTGGAGACCCCAAAAGAAAATGGAAAAGTTGGAAGCTGCCCAGGAAAGTTAGGAAGTAGGAAGTATTAAGGGTGCAAGTTAGTAATACAGTTAGAAATACAGTTAGTATTTGGTTAGAGTAGTTAGGATTTCTCTTACAAAAACAGAGTGGGTAATCTTCATTCAATCAATTAATACAAATCCTATTTTCTCTCTTTAAACTCTCTCTCTCTCTCTAATATCTCTGTGTTAATCCTTTCTTCTTAATTTTCCCTTCAATTCCCAAATATTGCAATGTAGTTAACATGGTATTAGAGCCACCAAGCTCACGCCCTCACGCCATGGATTCTTGTGGTTCCGCTTTTTTATTAGATTTCATCTTCTAGTTTTATTTTCTCTTCAGATTTCTTGAATTTTCCGTCAAGTTCTTCGGTGTTTCCTTCTTCTGTTTGATCCCCGAATCAAAGAAGGAACCAAAATCAATTTCTTACTCAGTTTTTGTGGATGCGAATCGGCTGAGAAGGAGCGTTCTTGTGGAGATCCTTGGTGCCACCAACGTGTTCTAGGCGGCTCTGTTTCTTGAAGGGTTGGCCCAATTTCTTGTTGGATTCAGAGACCCTAAGTTACTTGCTCAGTTTGATCTCTGCAAATTGCTTCTCAGGAAGGAGAATCGCTTGGCGATTTGATATGAGTTCATCTTTTTCAAGAGAAATTGCAACCCAGACGACAACATCAACAACTTAATCCACATAGAGATCGAATTCAGGTTCCAGAGAGATAAAGCTTTGATCATTCCTAACTGGGGCTCTCAACAAAACAGCAGCATTTGGGTGAGAAAGGCCTGAAATTAGATTGCTTTCAGTGGCCTGCCTATCGTTGGAGGCATGGACGGAGAGGACGATGTTCCTACCGATGTCACAACACGAAGACGAAGATTATTTCTTTGCGACGGGATCTATTGTTGAAAAGGCGCATGAGGTGTTGACAAAATTAGGATGGGAGATGAATATAATCACGCCCTTCGATATTGTCTATGAATTAGATTTATGCTCTGCTCTCTGGTGTGGAAGAAAGTTTAGACTTTTGTGTAGTCTAAATGTTTAATGAAATGCCCAGCTCAGAATTTTCATGTGAAGGTTAAGTTTTTCAGCCACTTCTTCTGAATTTCTTATTATGATTCTTTCATTATTCTGTAAATCAGTTATTTTGTTGTTGTGGGTATGAAGTCATTTAGTTGATATGTTGAGATTCTTCTAGTTGATAATGGCTTGTTTGTGATATTTGCTTCCAAGATTCTTCATTGTTTCATAATCCATGTTTGTGATATTTCGGATATTTGGATTCAAGTATATTGGTCATTGCTGGATTGTGCAATTTGTATGGTGGTGTCCAGTTCTTTCTCTGCTTCACCGATATCTAGCAAGTTTATTGGGTTTGATCTTTCTGCAACTCTTGATATATTTGGAGAAATGAGTGTGAATTCTTGCATTTGGCATGTATAATTTTGTGGTTGTTCAGATTATGGTTTGTGCCAAATGAGAAATGTAATGTCTGAGAAGATTGTTCAAGTGCTTATTGAGGAGTTTCTGCAGTATTTTTTCTTATCACGGACAATAATGTTAAGTCTAACCAACTCAGTTTTAGCATGTATGTCACATCTCGACCTGGGCTCCACCATAGGGCTCGACTCCGCCGTAGCATGATATTGTCCGTTTTGGGCCCCGACCACGCCCTCATGGTTTTATTTTTGGGAACTCACACGAGAACTTCCTAGTGGGTCACTCATCATGGGAATGCTCTCGCCCGAACTCACTTAACTTCAGAGTTTCGATGGAACCTGAAGCCAGTGAGCTCCCAAAAGGCATCGTGCTATATGGAGGTGGGCATGTACTTATAAGGCATAGAGGATCCACTCCCCTGAGCAATATGGGATCTAACAATGTATATACAGTAAGTCTGGTTATACGATGAAGTTTGAAGAAGTTGATAATGGTAAATCCCACGAAGGGTAATTCTATGATATGAATAGGTAAATCCCACGAAGGGTAGAAGAAGTTGTTAACGATAAATCCCACGAAGGGTAATTCCGTGATGTGAGTAGGTAAATCCCATAAAGGGTAATCCTACATAGATGTTGATTTTCTGTTGTTGAAATTATGAAGGCTGATGCCATTGTTAAGAGTAGTTATTTTTTGGTAAAATCCATAAAGGGCGATCCCGTGGTACTATAGTTAAGGCCGATGCCACACTATAGTTTATTAATTTTCTGTTTTAAAGGCCGATGCCAATGTTAATTGTTGACGGTAAATCCCACAAAGGGTAATCCCGTAAGAAATTGTTATAACCGGCATGAGGGTGTGTTACAACTTTATAAAAGGTTGTTCTTTGTGAAGCTCCTGTCAAAGGCAAAGGAATATTGGAATTTTTGGATGTGTTCAGCATAGTTCTTTTCTAAGATCTTGGTCTGTATGTTGTGGTGAGGCAGTGAATATATTTAAAGTGGAAGGGCATCTTGTTGTTATCTGCTTCATCCGCGGATGTGCTTCCTACTGAGCTTAAAGAATACTTTGGGGCATATTGAGATGTGTCTGTTGTGGTTTCGTCGTCATTGCTGCTCTGCAGCTTATATCTGTCATAAGAGTCATCCTTGCTTGCTTGAGATTTCAAGTCGATCTCACTTCCTTCTGATGCAGTAGAAGCCCATATGTAGCTTAATTTGTCTCCAACATCCTAGTTTTTTTCTCAATATATATATATATATATCTGATTGTTATTTGTAATAGTCTTTTGGTTCGAACTACAAAATAGTTTTACAATTTCATTGTTGTTAAAGTTACAATGCATTATAGTGGATGTTACTAGTACATTGCTAGCTTACAAGGGGGAGCTTAGGGACTACTATTGCATGGCAGCCAAAGCTGTAGGGCTGGAATGCCCTGACTACAAAAGGGTACATGAGGGCTTCAAATATGCATATAAAGACATGGCCACCAAGTGTCCATGTTTCGGGCATGCTGCAAAAATGCCCAACATCGTATGGTGGAAAACTTATGTCAGAGACTCCTTTATAAGGGCTGGATATCATCAATCATGATCCTCTCCTAATCTAAGGATGAGGATCCTCATGACCAAGGGATGCGGGCCGTTGGATGAAAATCCAACGGTTATAATTATTATAACTTTAAAGGGACTCCCCTGTTTATAGCCGTTGGATTTTCATCCAATGGCCCATATCCCTTGGTCATGAGGATCCTTATCCTTAGATTAGGAGAGGATCCTGGTTCGGATATCATTACGATGAGGAGACATTTGAGAAAGTGTTCTAACATATATATGCGTCCTTTGGTTCCTATGTTCCTCATTCCATCTTTCCTGACTCCTAACTCTTTCTAAGATGGGTCCATGAACAAGGTCTTAAAGTTGGAATTATTAGCAATGTAGAATACTTTTATCGAGATGTAATTCTTTCAACCTTGGGTATGCATTAGGGAACTGATTGGGATTTTGTCATTGTACATGCCGATGGTTCAACTCTGTGTTTTGTTTTCTAGTTTCATAGCAGTCATTGCAGATGTATTCTTCCAATCTCTAACTGGGTTTCCCCAGTTGAGATTGAGGGGGAGTATTAAGGGTACGAGTCAGTAATACAGTTAAAATACAGTTAGTAAGTTTGTTAGTCTTTGGTTAGAGTAGTTAGGATTTCTCTTATAAAAACAGAGTATGTAATCTTCATTCAGTCAATTAATACGAATCCTATTTTCTCTCTCTAAACTCTCTTTCTCACTCTAATATCTCTGTATTCATCATTTCTTCTTAATTTTTCCTTCAATTCCCAAATATTGCAATGCAGTTAACAGGAACAAGTAGAAGCAATTAGGTTTTGCTTTGCTTTTTATGAATTTGGTCGTGAAACAACCAATATCTACTGACATATTTGGGCTGGTTTTATTAAAAGGAAAACTAATAAAAAGGACTTGGAAACTTTGACTTTTAATGAAAAGCCACCTTATAACTTTATTTAATGGTTAGTACAAAACCCAATATTAAACAAGTCCAATTAAAATGGCCCAACCAAAATAACATATTGATTTCTCTATTTTGCCCCAGACGTTTTTGGGTTATATTAGTTTTGTTTTCCATTAGTTTAGTCATGTCGAAGAACTAAGTTATAAAGGCCAATCATTCACTTTTGCAGATTTTTTAATATAGGGTTTTGATTTGATTGCTTTCTGTTATCCAGCTAGGGATTTTTGGCCTTTAGGAACTTGATCAAATTAGGTTTTTTTTTCTTGTTCCTGTTCAAAGAATCAAGCATAGAAGAAGATGAGATGATGACAGAATCATTGGAGGGAGAAGAAGATGCAAAGATGACGATAAGGAACCAACTGCTGATAGTTGACAACAATCTCAGAGAAATGGGCAAGAAGTTTCAGCGAAGAAACAAAGAGACCGGAAATCGTTTTCAATTCTTCAATTCTTGTTAATTACTAAAAACTGCTCTCTTTTTGGCCCCCCCTAAGATACGGGATGTTCATTCAAATCTCTTATCGATCCTCAGATGAAGAGTGCAATTTAGATTTTTGGGATGACATTAAGAAGTCGGAAGAAGTTAAAACAGAGTTTTCATTCGATATGATGCACTTGCTTGTAATATTCTGTTGTTCTTCTGTCTTTGTCAATCAGAAAACACATACAGGAAGATGTAATCCAAAAAAAAAGAAACCAAATGGATGTTTGGGATTTAAGATTTCATACTTGGGTTCTAAGATTAGATCGAAGAAAACGATTGATCCCCATATTTTTTTAAAATTTCTTTTATCTTCGGTAACAAAACATGCAAAGAATGAGAGTTCTTCAGTGACTGGGAGTCTCTGAGGGCCTTTGGTGACTAGTCAGTCTTTCTACACTAAAGTGAAATGAAAGATGCTGCCAAATGTGTCTCAATACGTTTCAATACCACATTGCCCATTACATTTGCCTTTATTATCCAAATCACCAATGCTGAATAATGATGGTGAT